TTATGATGCTCTTGCGGCTGAGGGTGTATAAGTTGAGTGCGGCGAAGTTGATTGAAGCTGAAGAAGAATGCTCTTTGGACTTTTTCCTCCCGTGAAAACTGCATACACGCATGACGCGCCCGCAGGGAATATTCGGGCACGAACGCGGCGTGTATCGAAAGGCGTACGGTATAGGTATCCGTGCTTTATAGAAGTATAAATATGTATCTGTATCTGTAGGTCTGGATACGTGTCCGTCCGTCTGCAAGCGTGAAGGGCCCGTATGCTTGTACGCGCGATGCCGTCGGAGTTATCGACTGAAGAGCCTGCGAACACTGCACGCAGCAGGCAGTGCCCCCGCTTTGCTGCTGTCCTCACGGCGCTGAGGGCACTGCAATTGGAGGACGTTGCGACCACCGAGCTTTAGCTCCTCTGAGCGGACGGTAGGTATATATATATTTGGATATGTAGCTATATATATATATATATATATATATGTATACATATATATATATATAACATATATGTATAAATTTAGATATGCTGGTGTATTCTGATATTCAGCCTACGGCCTATGCTCAGGCTTGCTTCACTGACTGCAGCTGCTGTTGCTGCTGCAGCACAGAAGATTCTTCCCCGTCCGGTGCGACTTCTGCTTTTGAATGACATGTGCCCGCGTTGTAGCTGTTCCTTGCGCGCCTCTCAGCCACCAGGCGTGCTGCCGCCTCATAATATGCGCGGCAAGCGCTTCGTGCTTCTCTAACATGAATTGTACGGGCCCTTTGAACTTACTGTTGCCAGTAAACGTTTCGTGTTGCGGGCGACGGATAGTCTTGACGTGCATAAGCTGGAGGCCTTGCTGCAGTCGTAGAAACCTCTAGCTGCCTCTGCAGCGTACGCCCGCTGTCAATGAACTTTCTCGGGCAGCTGGCGCTACGCGCACGGCGCCTCCTGCTGCTGATCAGACCTTGTGGTCGCGCCACTGACGGCGGGGCTTGTTATTGCTGTGGTGTCGCGCCCCGGTTGCCACCTACAGGAGTATACAGCTGTAATGCTGGGGTCAACTCGCGTGACTATAGCGTGCCCCGGACGCTGCAGGGGTTTCTGCAACATCGCGGGAACGCGAGCGCATATAGCTACTCGTGGTCATATATGAATCTATGTACACATGTATATATATATATAATATACATACATACCTGCATTTCCCCCTGTACCGGCGTCTCGGTAACATCGGCTACAGCCGCTCAGCCTGCTGACTGAGAGAACAGGCGTGAGCATTCACACTGTGTGCACACGCGGATCGCAGCTCATTCTCAGTGACAGTGCAGGGCAGTGCGGTCACATAGCATATAATTTTGCATATATATATATACACATACAAATACATATGCATGTACATCTGTTACACGTGTGCGCAAACGCGAATCGCAGCTCTCTCTCCAAGCGATTATACAGCGAAATGCGGTTACATTTTCCATGTTCTCGGCTGGACGTGTCCAGAGTAGTATAAGTCACGGCATTAGCGCCTACTAAGGTCCACAGGGCGCAGCTTTGCGGGGACTCCTCACGACAGCATCGGGGTGAGGCGTGCGAAAGTGTAATTACTGCTCGCACACCGTGGTCGCTGCTTGCACGCGGATGCTATATTGACTACACAGGCAGCAGCATGCATTATTAACCACTATGAGGCAGCACCATGCGTTCGCTGCTCTTCAGCGTTCAGTTGTAGAGAGCCACCTGCCAATCCTAGCAAGCAGGCCTTAGCGAATGCCGTGCAGAAGCGCTCGCCCCGCCTTGGAGACCTCTCACAGCGTTCGATGGTGACTCAAGCGTTCCGCGAGAACTCGCCAAGTCCTACGGCATAGCGAAGTCAAGCTCACGGGCCCGTCACACCAGTAGACAGGCGGACACGTATTCAGAAATATATATACAGTTCGATATTTATACTTCTGTAGAGCAGGGGATCCCTATGTGGTACGTCGTTAGATACACCAGGGCACATTCGCGCATAGACTTTTTGCGCATAGCCGGACACATGCGATTCATATATACTATATATATATATATATATCAGGGCTCACCAGCATACACGCGCGCAGGTGGGCGCCTGGTTCGAGAGCTTGAGAGGCGGCAGAATATGTCCAGACACGCACCGTAAAAGTTGAAACAACGTGGGGCGGCCGCAGGCAATCAAAATGGGGTCGCAAAATACGTACAAGGAGGACACGCGGGAGCGAGACGAACCCTCACGAGGAGGAGGACGAGGGAAGGAGGAGGAAAAGGGGAAGCAGCAGCAACAGCAGCAGCCACGAAAAAGCCATTAGCAACATCGTGGGCGGCGGCAGTCGCAGCGGCGTGAAACACGCTACGACGCTCTAGGAGCCGATATCCGTCTATCTATGTATCTATCTATCTATGTATCTAACTGTCTATTTATGTGTCCTATCCCTCTGAGTATTTACCTCTGTTATGTACCTACCTGTGTATATAGTTGTCTGTCTACGTATCATTCCAAGCATTTATCTATGTATCTATGTATGTATGTATGTATTTGCCTATGTACGTATCTGTCTGCCTATGCATCTACCTATCTATGTACCAATCTGTCTAAGTGTCTATCTACAAGTGTATAAATCTGTGTATGTGTCTGTGTCGCGATCTACGTACTTAATTAGCAATGAATATATACCTACCTATATATATGTACAGACATAAAAATATTCATATATATCGAATCATAGTTTCTACTTATGAGTGCCGGCAGAAGAATGTGCTTAGAGTTGCCAGTGCACGAAAGCAGCCCACCCTGTCATGCAGGCAAACATGAGTATACACGCAACACCGTGCTGCAATACACGCACGGCGAAAACAAACACGGTGCTCTCTGATGCCTCTGCACAGCGCAAGTGGGACTTAAAAATAAAATTTGAATCGAGGTCACCGAGCGCGATGGTCTCACGCGCCTGCGTCCCTACGGTCATGCTTGCGTGCACACCACGAGCATTAACGCACACATGTGCGTGCTTAAGCGTCTCGACGCACTACGTTACATGCACACTTTGCACACGTGCCCAGGTGGCTGTATAGGAGTACACGCACGGGTAGCAGCACACACATGTCGGCCCTCACCCATCAGCACACAAAAGACGGCAGAAAGAAGCGACCCGCGCCCGCGAAATCACTGTGAGCGAGAAGCAGGACCTCGAAGACACATTTTTGTCCTAGGGGCCGCAGCCATACCATTAAGCATCGCCAATCGTGGCCTACCACATACAGGAGGCTAACGCGCGCTGTTGTGAGGGGCTGTTCTAGCAGAAGTGGAAAAAGAGAGAGGGCATCAGCAACAACAGGTAGCGTCTGACTAAACGACTGAAAATACAAACTGTGGCTACTTCCGCACAAACCTGCGTCACTGCACAAAAATACACATATATATACATACGTATGCGTATATATATGTACGTGCAAATGTGGGATGAGTATGGACATACACCGAATGCACGTGTATACAACAAGCGTGCACGTAGGCGTGCAGGCGCGCGTGTGTATATGTTCATAGATGTTTAGTATATGCATCAGTATAGAGGCACATATGCGTACGTAGACATGTGTGTAGCAGCTAGCGGCCTCAAGAGTAGAGTGCTGCGTCATTACTACAGGGTCTCCGTATTGCATTCATATACATTACGATTGCCTCGGTTAAGATACGCGTACGTCTATACGCTTACAACTTACACACACCTCTGCGCGAAAGACCTCACCTGATGGAGAACAAAGAAAATGGTTTGTAAGCCGCCACGCGCATACCCTTGTGAAACAAATGATGTACATATATGCGTATATACATATACATAAACATTTCCATCTGTGAGTAGCTGTAGATGTCGCAAATTTCTATATTTATGCCCACTGCTGCAGCAGCAGTACTCACCACGGACTTCTCTGCATGGCGGCAAGAGTCAAAAAATTTTCGCGCCTCTTCTGTCTTTTCTGTGCCTGCGTGCGCGTCTCTTGCTATTCTATACTGCTTACAGCACGTGTATACAGAGAGGAGCAACCGTCCATTGGTAGGGGGCTGCCTCTTCTCTAGCTGTCTGTGCAAATTTGCTTAGTGCACGCATACATACTAGCTACATATACGCCGTTTCTGCAGACCGTTCCAGTGCCTCGCACACGTATCAACTACACACGCGCGAAGCGGCCCTCCCAGCTCGCTGCTCCCTTTCCTGCTGCTCTTCTTGCTGTTGCTGGTATTGCTGCTGCTGCTGTCAGTATTGTCGCTGTCGCTGCTGCTGCAATCGTGTGCTACTGCTGCTGCTCTTGGTGGGTGGCTGCGGCGCTGCTGCTATTGCTACTGCTGGTGTTGCTGCAACGCTGTTGCTGCCGCTGCCGTTGCTGTTGCTGCCCTTGATCCTGGCTTGGTCTACTTTCTCTCTCGGGGTTGGACATCGTAGTTCCTACGGAAAATCATCCCCAACCTGGTACTGCTTCTTCCTTGCTGCTGCGTTCCCCCTCAAGAAATCCCTTCTCACGCCAACGGTGTTCTTTTTCTCCTGTTCCTGCTGCTTGTCAACTTCCTGCTTTGGCTCCTCCTGCTGCGGCCATTTGGCCATCTGCTTGCTGCTCCGCAGTTTGTTGCGCCTTGCCTCCTGCTGCTGGTCTCTCTCCTGCCGTGAATGTGCGCCCCCGCCTTCTACTGCTTCTCTTCCGCTGCACTCCGTGTCTGCTTCCCTAGTGCTCTTCTCCTTCTGTTGCTCTTCTTTCTCCTGGGACTGCTCCACCTTCTCCTCACCTACTGCGGCAGCTGTTCTGCTCGGTCTGCTGCTCCCGCTGCTCATTTCTTTCCCCTTCGTGCTCGTGTTCCTCCTGTTGCTGCTGCTGCTGCTCTGCTATTGCCTGCCACTGCTACGCGTCTTCACGCCGTTTGCTCAGATGCTTTTATGTTTTGCGCCGGGGGGGGAGGTACTGCTGCCCTGGGCGTTGTCGTCGCTGATTGTATCACAGTCACGTCAAAACCGCGAGAGCTTGAAATCCTTTTCCCTTACCGACAGGAGAGAGAGACAGAGAGACAAAGAGGCGAGAGTTCATATATATGTATACATATATGTACATAGTATATATACACATATCTGCTGGTCCACTTTCCACTGTATTGACCTATTCTGTTTCTGGTCGACCTCGGCCAGCGACGACGCCCGATCACACCCAGTGCCCCGGCAGTTGTGCGCCGGCGCGCGATTTCCTGCCCTGCGCCTTCCAGCAGCCTCAAGTACCCAGTAACACGAGGCACATGACGCGCAGTGCGTACAGTGCATCAACGCCGTGTGCGGTGCCCAGCAGAAGGCTGCTCCCCCGGGTAGCCACGGGTATCCCGAAGCTGCGAGAGCAAGAAGTTGTGTGGCTTCACCTCTTCCTCCAGAAGTTGCTTTTTCTCCTTTCTCATCCCCTGCTCTATGTCAGCGGGACGTGTATGTCTGAGGGGGAGACACCATAGCGGTCATAAAGCAGGCGGCTGGCATGGCCAAGAGATTCCCAAGCTGCGAGAGCCTGGAGCTGTTTGCCTTCATCTTCCCCCTCCTAATATTACTTGTTCTGTCTTCGTCCCTCCTTTAGGTCAAGGGGACGTGTATGTCTCAGAGGGAGACAGGATAGCGGTCATGTAGCAGATGTCTCCCCGGCGACCGCTGTTGCAGGGGGCGGCGTAGACGCGGCGTCGACCTGCTAGCGCCGTCTATGCCAGATCGGCGTCGGCGCAGGCAGAACAAGCAAGAGCAGCAACAATAAGGCAGAGGAAGCACCTGGGATCTCGAGGAGCTTCAGCGTTTGCAGGCTTCCGCTGTTCCTGCTGTGAACGCGAATATTTTAAATGCATATTTTAAATGCAGCTGAGTCTATTGCTACTATTCCTTCGGCAGTGTCGCCAGTAGCTTCAGACCATAGCTGCTGCGACATCGGCCGCGGTGCTGCTGCTGCTTCTGCTCCTTTCTGTGCCAATGCTCTCGCCTGCGTCCTCCTGCTCCTGCTCCTTGTACAGCTGCCACCGGTGCAGCTGTCGTTTTGCAAGAAGGCAGCGCCTCTCGAAAAGTGCTAGCACGGCAGCGTGGTGCATCGTCATTGTCTACTCAGGAGATGCATCACATGCGCAGATTAGAATTTGTACGTGTGCTGCCGTCGGCCCTCCGCTGCGGCATTACTGCGGCGCGACCCCGCCCTACCGACGTTGCTGATGGTGCTGCTGCGTCTGCTCCTGCTCGACAGCGAATACCAACCTTGCTGTCGCTCGTATGGATCCCGCTTCAGCAACTAGTGCTACGAAGCCAGCAATTGGCGTGTTTGCTGCAGGCTTCGGCGCTGTTCTCTTCCGTCATCGAAGAGAACTTCTCTACGTCTGTACCCGATGAGCCTGTACGTTCGCCGTAACCGCGGGTGCTGTCTCCCCTGGAGCATGGTCCAGCAGCTCGTCCCGCGCCGTCCGTACAAACCCTTTACCTACGTGCCCAGGCTTTGCGTCTCTGCCCACGCTTTCACTCTTGATCGATATACCTGTTAGTCCGCCGCCCCGTACATTGCCCGGAGGCTTCACGCTCCGGCAATTGTACAATCATCGCGCCTCCTGTGACGCCGTCGCGGTGGTCTTAGGAGGGTGCCGTCAAGTGGTAGTGGTAGTCCGGTGGTTCAGACAGAGCGTGCGCCGCGGGAGCCTTTGCGGCGTGCCTGCCTTCGCACTGTGTCGCGCGCGTGGGTGAGCCGAGTCCTTCCGGCGTCGCAATTCTTGGCGCCCCTGAAGGCTGGAATTTTAGGTCGTCCGTCTTACGAGGTAGTCGTCGTGACGCTAGACGCAACGTGGATTTCTTCTTCACTGCAACCGCCTTCGGCTCCGTAGCGGGTGAACTTGACGTCGGTCGCCTCCCGGTCGACTTTTCTTTCTAAATTTACGTGCAGCAGGTAGCGTGGTTGTCGGCCTGGTTCCGAAATGCCGCTCATTTCTGCCCGTCGCTGCCGCGGGTTGCCAGCATGTCCGGCTCCCCCTCCAACCGGTTGAATGTCCACTATTTCGTATCTTGGGTTCGTTGGCTCTCATATCCTTCGAACACCGCGATTTTGTACTCAGCACGACAGTGTAGCACGCGACAGCAGCGGCGGCCAACGAATGGAGGAAACGACGCCTCAGCTGGGTCCCTTCTCCATTCGAACGCTTTGTTAATCACGCATCTTTGGTCACGACGACGCTGTTACCGGTGGGGACTTGCTACGGCACCAGGACCAAGTGGGACCAAAGCAAAAATGCATTCTTAGATTTGGCTTGAGGACCTGCGTGCCAGCTTGTAGCAGCTTCAGCAGTGGCTAAGTGCGCTGTTGAACATCTAGACACGGTTCTCAGACCGGGTTTGATTTAGGTATATTAGCGTAGCTGCATCCTTTTCTGAGAAGGAAGCATACGTTTGTCCTACTTCAATGTGGTGATTTGTCTTCCCAGTAGGGCCCCCGGCGTGTACGCGTGAGCATCGGGAGCTGCATGTCTACACGTGCGCTGCCTTCGCTGTCGGAAGCGCTAGTCTTTGTGATGTGATGCCCTCACTGAGTGCTCGTATAATTGCTACATGGAGACATGCTTCTCCTCCGCGAGCTGGGCGGGGCCGCTGTGGCCTTGCTTCCGGGGGAACACGCCGCGCGCCCGTCACCGTACATTCCGTTCCTCGCCTTCGGGGGAGTTCTGCAGCAACGGTTGCGATGCACGGGTCGGTGGTCCGTGCAGGATAACAAGTGGCTTTATCAGTTTGAAGCGGCGCAGCGGCGCACGCGCCTTCGGAGCACTGTTTGCTGCTTTGTTGTTTCTATCCCAAGTTTCTTTCGTGCATGGCGCCCGACGACCTCTGCGTGGCGCTGAGTCGACGTCTCCACAGCAGGGCAAAGCCGGCACTACCGAGGGGCACCTACGGCGTGCGGTTCAAGACGCCTCGACGGTACGACCTCGAGGATCAGCCCCTCATGCTGGATGCCCAGAGGAATCTGCCCTGAGCGCGCGTGAGGGAAGCGAAGAAAGTCGTGCACCACAAGCAGAGCCGCCAGCTCTTTCAGAGGCCGCAGCTCGACGAGGGGCCTCACCTCACAGTGAGGTAGGCGAGGAGGCCGCCCGGAGACGGACTGGGGCCAGATTGAGGCGTCCACCAGCACGCTACTCCACTGAAGCAAGCCCGCCTGGGAGTGGTCCGCGTGACAGCCCGCACGAAGGCAAACGCAGGCGTCCGAGTAGCCGAGAGTCTCAACAGCGTCGTGTGAAGAAGACGAAGCGAACGCACCAACATTCCGACGAGCACCCTGGAGCGAATGCGGGGCCTGAAGTGGTACGGAACGCAGAATCATCCGAATCACAGGAAGGTTTACTAGCGAATGCAGAAGAGGGTCGAGGGAAAATTTCATGTGAGAAGGGCGTCGGCGCAGCCACGCCACTGAAGCAGGAGACGGCCACAAGCTGCCCGCCAGTGAAACCTGTCCAGGTACTCAGGTGCATGTCGCACGCCGTGGAGGAAACCGAACACACAATGCGTGTAGCGGATTCTACGTCTAGTAGTGCAGAAGGCGTCCCTCCACAGGGGACACATCAGCAGGAGGATATGCGCGAGCGGATGCCTCGTGGAGACAGCGAGTTTCCAGCACCGGGGCGCCGTAGGAACAGCGCAGCCATCTGTGAAGACCGTCCCCAAGCCGGTGGTAATGCTGCTCAGGTAAGCACCTCATATATGCCTTTTTTCGCGGCGGAATTCCCGACGGGCACGGAGAGTCGGCGGCCTCTACCCGCGCCACTAGGTGAAGGTGGCTTCGTACCAGCGCCGGGTACTGCTGCGGCAGGCCATCAAGAGACTATGACGTCTCGGGCAAGTGCGTGCTCGACGGCAGCGGCTAGCGCAGGAGCCTCAACAATGTCGACGTCATGCTGTGGAGGTTCACCCCCACGTGGAGCGCCGCCACATACCCCTACGAGTAGCGCGTCGCACGCTTACTTGCACGCGGGGGACGGGGCCACAGGTGGCGCCACAGCAAATTTGGGCGCGGCTGGTGCATCAGCTGAGGGTCGGGAGGACCTCTGCGCTTCGCCGAAATCCGATTTCGCTGACGACGCCGAAGTGGCGCTGGAGTCCTTGGCGAACCTCGTGAGTAGTGAGGATCTCTCCTTCATTGCGGAGAGGCGAAGAGCTGAGCCCAGAGGACCTGGAGGATCTGGCCAGGAGCATCTTCAGTGGCAGTCCCGTGGAGACCGGTGAACCATCTCCCGTGTCGGATGCCGTACCAGAGTGCCCTATGTGTGGCTCGACTTTTCAGAAGGCAGATTGTGGAACGAATGCTTTGGGGTCCACCGGCTCTACAGGTAGCCCCGCACGCGAAGGCATTTCGCATGCTGCATGCGGCTGCGTGCATTTTCCGTCGTCTGAGGCGGACGCGACGACGTCTGGCCTTGGATTATTTACGACTGCAGCACTGGCGGGATGGACAACAGATGTTGCAGATAGCGCTAGCCCCTCTTGCGTCTCTCAGGAAAGAAGCGACCAAGGATCGTCTTCCGAGAAGCACCATACAGATGACAATTTGAATTTCGACAAGCTACAAATGCGTGAAAGCGCATCTTCTAGTTTCTCACACCACCACTCACCTGGAGAGCACAAACAGTTTGATTATTCCTCTCTGGAGGGTAGTACGCCCGAAAATGCGACTCGTCAGGATCTCACAGGCGCCGGTCAGAGCGCCGCTTTGATGGATCTCGACATAGTTAGGGAGCTGCAAGCTTTCGTAGACAGTGAACTTTTCAAGCAGATTTTCGAGATACCCTCAATGCACGAGTACCTTTCCTCGGGTGCTGAAGAGTTTTATGCCCCCAATCGGTACGAGGAATCGTGCTGTGAGGGGACGCAGATCACGTCAGCCACCACTGGGGTCTCGAACGTGTCGAACACTGCTGGCGTTGCGCAGCATCCTGCAGGTGACAGCAGTCGTGCTGTCGAGGGTCAAAGTCTCGACGACGACCCCATGGAAGGATCATCATGGCACTGGCCTGACGGCCGCGACAGTGTTCAGCCCGATGGAGCTCCTAGCACCCGGCCTTCTGCCGGTGGGCGAGAGGAGATGGCGGTTTGCAGCCAGGAGAAAACCGATTCTTTTCCCGACGGCGACGGGGAGAGAGCGCGCGCGACTTCCGCAGCAGACGTGCTTCGCAGTCTTCCGTAGAAGGCGAGGATCTTGGGGGCCCTCGGCTCTCTGGCGGTCGCGTAGGCCCTGAGGTGGCAGGGCAGTCGCTGCACCTATCTACTGCGCGGAGAACAGCTCCCCAGCCTTTACGCAGAAGTACGGGCCCCGTCTGTGGTGATGGCGGCGGCCGTGCTGGCTGTGCTGCTGCTCGTGCCGCGGCACGCGGGGGGTCACGTGCGGCACGGACGACATGTCGGGATGCTTGCCCATTCGTGGGAGGGGCCGCTTCCGCGGTAGTCGAGGCTACTGAGGCTTTGAGACGTGCCTGTAGCCTGCGAAGCGCTGCAACTGCCCAGCATCCTCACACTTCGGATGGGTGTTCATGCGGGGGCCCACGGCACCAGCGAGAGCAGCACAATACCATGGAGACAAAGGATCCGGGGCAGCCAAGCACTTCTCGTACGTCTCAAGTGGGATCCGTGCAACGCACACCTGGCAGTTGTAAGCGGGCCCATCCGGTTAGCGTCGATGAGGAATATATGTGGGACGAAATGAGGCGCTCGGGCGCTGACTTCTCATTGAAGCCTACGGTCATTGGTGCGAATGACACGGCATGTCATACCTGTGCTTCTTCTGCTGAAATCAGCGCTGACACTCGTAGTGCTGCTGGCGTGGCGCCTTGCAGTGCCGCTGCTATTGCCCGCACTGCGAGTGGTGACTGCACTGCTGTAGCTGCTACTGGTACTGCGTGTAGTAGCACTAGTGCTGATGATCTAGCTCCGGCTAGCACAACTGGTGCTTCTGCTGCTACTCGTAGCGCTCCTACCCCGCCTACCGCTGCCTCTCCCACTACCGCCTCTGCTACCGGTACTGGCTGCACTGTTGCCGCTGCTACTGGTACCGCTAGTACTTCTGTTCCTGCTGCTTTTACTTCTAGTGCTCCTGCTTCAACTGCTGCTACTGCTACCGCGACCAGCACTGCTCCTTCTGATGCTATTGGTAGCGCTGCAGCTGCTCCAACTGCTGCTGCAAGCTGTATCACCTCTGCTGTTGGTACTGGTAGCGACGGTGCTGCTGCTATTGGTACTGGTAGCACCACTGCTACCGCTGGTGATACTGCTAGCACTACTGGTGGAGCCGCTGCTGATTCTACTCCTACTGCTTTTGCTTCTAAGGTTCCTTGTATGACTGTGGATCATAGTGGCGCTTCTGATAGCGCTCGTGCTGACTTCTCGCTTGATAGTGCCCCTGGTAGAGCTGCCGCTCCTGCATCCGATAGTTCTTCTGAGAGTGATTTTTGCTGTGTGATTATCAGCACTGGGGATGCTGCTACTGATGTTGCTTGTTCCAGTGCTGCTGCCGGTGCTTCTCCTTCTACTGCTCGTGCTTCTGCTGGCGCTACTGCAGTCGCGGTTTGCCCTCTTTTGGCAGCCATGCTGCTCCTGCGCCTGATAGTACTACTAATGATGATGATGACTGTTTTGTTGTCAACGCTTCGGCCGCGCATGCTTTTCGCGCTGCCGCCGGTGCCGGTGCCGCTGGCGCTGGGACACCTGGGAGATCGGTGGCTTTGACCGGCGGCAGTTCAGGATTTAGCTCGACGTCCGGGGAGCAGCCGCTTGAAGAAGAAAGGCCACAGGAAGGACGCGTTCCTCCTTTAGGCGGGGGCGAGGAAGAGGATGAAGCACTACCACAAGGTTTTGTCTCTGATACAATTGCTGAAGAAGCCATGCGGTTGGCTCTCGAAAATATGAGACTTGAGCAACAGATTACAAGTGCCTTCTCGGACCTCGTCGACGCTCTGCCCTCAAGCGGGACTACTTGGTCTACAATCGTGCAGCGCGCGCGATGCGCTATAAAGCGCTTTGTGTTGTGGCGAACGTTTTGTGAGACGGTCATCCGCGCAGTAGTGTGTGCGCCTGCGCTTCCCCTACCTCCCCGCGAGGTGCATGAGTTAATCGACCTAGCATGCAACTTTCGGGCGCCGGTGGCCCTTCGTTGTCGTGCGGTTCTTCGTGTGGCGTTTACTGCTCTCATTGTATCTACTTACTCAGATCAAATGTGTACACATGTCCCCGCGATCAAGGCAGCGACAGATGCCCTGGCGTCTTCACTCAGAAGGGCCAAGACGCACAGGCTGCTGAATGCGACTGTAAAAGAGTGTTCCAGAATGGTGGAAGCTATATGCGCAGTGCTGGCGTTTTCGCCTTTTCGCCCGTCAGTTCTCTGCGGTGACTTCGTCGATTTTTATGGTCTGCATCACCACTGGGCCTCTTACTTGGCTTCTCGTCGACTCAGGAGCGGTTTCTTCTGGCCGGCCTTCTTTCGCGTAACTGCAGTGTTATGCGCGAGACCATGGTGCGATACCTCAAGGATACGTCCCGGATACAACGCTATATGCGCTACGGTGCAGCAATTCGTGGAATGCTAGCGCGGCGCAGATTTCTTCATAATCTGCGTGAACTGGAAATAAGAGGCTGCTTAACCTCTTCAACAGATATCCAGGCACTTAGTCCCGACGGTGCCGGACCGTCCGCTGGCGTACCGGGTGATGCTGGGCCCTCTTGTTCGACTACTTCCGGCTCGCCTGCGGAGCAGGGCACCGAGGCGAGTAGTAGTTCTGATGCAGATGCCGCCGCTGCCGGGGAAGAAGGTGACAGGAGGGAACATGCAGAAACGGAGGAGGGGGGTCGCGGACATAAGGGGAACCAAAACAGTACGGGACGCTCCAGGGATGGTGCGAGCAGTAGGTCGTCTGGGGAAGAGCAATCGCCAGAAACGGGCTGGCATCCTTTCGATCACACCTATAATACGTGCACTGGGGTCACGGGAAATTGTTGTTGCTCCCCTGAAGACAGGCTTGTACTGCCTGCTGGTCGTTTGTGGTCGGCAGCCTGGAAACGGCTCGACGAGAGAACCGATAAGCAGTCTGAACGTACCGAGGATGTCCTCGTTATGGCAGTGCGTTCCTCCCTGGGTGCAGCTTTGAGCTACTGCTGTGGAAACGGGGCGGAGAGCGCCGTGGATGCCTCTATAGATTGCTCGGCAGCTGTTGGCCGTGGTCAGGCGTATTGCTTCCAGTTCCCAGGAGAAAGGGTGTTTACTGTGAAAAGAAGACTAGGCGGTTCGTGTCGTTCAGCCGTACAGGCGTATTCGACACGTTTGAATCAGCTCTTGTGGGATGCCCGTGTTATGGGAATGACGGAAGAGCTGGATAGGCTATTCGCAGCAATGTTCTGCGAACCTCGGTTTGCGCATCAATTACTAGAGGGCCGGCAACTACCGCTGATACCGTCTCGGGTGTGTCGTCCGCTTGGGGCTGGGGAAGACGCCGTTGCTGATTCGCCGGGGGACTCGCCTGCGCCTTGCCAGCCTCCGTGCCCCGCCCCTCTGAAGTTTTGTGGACGGCGGCCTTCTCGTTCTTCTTCTTCTTCCTCTTCTGTGGCTAGGAAAGCGCCCAAGCGCGTGCGGTCATCCGGAGCCACTACTGGTGCTGCTGCTGCGGCTCCTTCTTTTCTGCATTGCCCTCAGCAGTTGGGGCACAAAACGGATCGTGCCGCCCCGTCCGCCGCACTGGGGGCACCAGTAGATAGTAGCGTGGAATCTGCAGATGACAATGCTGCAGATGCCAATGCTGACCACACGGCGGGGCCGCCGCCGCATCTCTTAGGAGTATCTGTTAGGACAGCAGAGCAAGTGTCTAGGTCAGAAAAAGATGAGCGTTCACAGCCAGAGGTCATGCGTCGTGCGGAAGGGGACGACACAAGGGCGTCTGAAGAAGCGCGGCCACCGTGTCACGCGGAGCCGTCGCAGCTCCTCTATCATCAGCACAGCAACCTGCAGCAACAGCAGCAGCCGCAACGGCTCGGAGACGCGCCGCAACAGCGTGGTAGGTCACCTACACGTGCGGCAGAGCCATCAGCACATGCGGCAGGCGGTCCACGAACACACCCCGGAAGTCTGCCCCCACACCGTGGAGGCCTGTCAGCACAGCTTGGTGGCCTGCCAGCCGGGCCCGGGCGTTCAGTAGAACAGCATGGTGAACACTCCTCACAGCAGACTCTAGGCTCGCGTCAGCAGCCCGGGGGACCGTCTTCACAGCTGCGAGATCAGTTACCACAGCTGCCACACCCGCCAATGCAACTAGAGGGCCCGTCGCACCCATGTCATGGATACACGCAGCTGCATACCGGAGGTGTGGGGGGCCTTTCGCAGCACGGAGGACATACGCAGCCGCATATCAGAGGTGGTGGCGGAGTTGCACAGCAGGGAGGTGGCTTGCCATTCCCACAGCGTGGACGCGCGCCAACGCCACAGCCCGGACGCGCGCAAACACCACAGGCTGGACGCCCACCGCTGCAGCACTGTGGGCCACCACAGCCTGGTCACCCGCCGCCGCAGTATTTGCCACCCTCTTCTCGCCCCACGCCACAGCGGCATTACGGATCGTTGTTGCCGCCACAGTTCGGAGGGGAGGGACAGCAAGACGTCGGAGATCCCGAGGTGCCACCAGGATACATCGTCCTGGTTTATAGCAGACGCGGCGCCGCGTCATCAGGGCCATCCGGCTGCCTTCCTCCGCAACCACAGCACGGGGTACCGGCCTCGGCAGCACCACAGCAGCAGCCGGGAGGCTCACAGCAGCAGCCCGGAAACTCACAGCAGCAGCCTCGAGACTCACAGCAGCCGCCCAGAGGCTCAGAGCAGCAGCGCTGCGGCGGCGGCGCGCCTTCACAGCAACAGCTAGTAGGAGCCCCGCAGCAACCCTCCGGAAGCTTGCAGCAACAGGACGGATGCTTGCAGCCACATCAGTATGCAGGCTCGCAGCAGCAATACGAAAGCTTGCAGCAACAGCAGCATGATGGACGCGAGCACGACCAGCATGGGGACGCGCAGCAACAGCTGGGGTAGCGGCCGGAGCAGCAGCCCGGGCAGCAGCAGCGGCAGCAGGAGCAGCAGCAGCCGTTGCTCACGAGGGTGGTGGAGGAACGGACGCAGACAGCTCAGAGTACCTCGTCTTCACATGAGACGCCCAGCAACCAGTCTGCTGGGGACTACGGACCTGCTGCGGCACCAGTTAGGGCTACAGCCGATTGACAGAGACGAGAAGAAGAAGCAGCACCGGCAACAGCAGAGGGGAGTAGCAGCGGGTCCCCAGTAGCAGCGGAGGCAGCAGCAGCAGCAGAAGCAACGTTAGGGCCCCCCCATCCGGCGGAAACGCCCACAACATGTTGTTCAGGATCAACAACAGAAAAAAAATCTGGTCGTGACAGCGCAGAAGGGCAAAAAGAAGGGGATGGACTCGCCAGAGTAGTAGCGAGTCGGAGGGCCGCAGTTTGGAGGAGGTGGCCGCCAGCGCCGGGAGGAGGGATGGGCGTAAGCCGCAGACGACGCCGTCACGTGCAATGAGCTCTAGTGCTGGTGCGACAGAAGGGGGGGATTTTACCGCACCAGCAGCTGGTGCAGCAGTGGTGGATGGCGCTACCTCTGTGACGGCAGAAGACCATCCCGACGCTGATGCAGGGGCCTCGCGTTCTCGCAGACTTGCTGCTGCAGGACGGGACACATCTTTCGCCCGTGCCTTTCTCGACGTGCCCGGCTCGGTCTCGCAGCAGCTGCTAATGAACCCGCTGCTGGTGATACATATGTTGCGGCTGCTGGTAAACGTGCCGCAGCTGCTGCTGCTTCTGCCACTCGGAGGCTTGCCCCTGTGGTGGGAGGAGGAGGCGATACATAATAGGATGCCGCTGCTTCTGCTAGTCCTAACGTACATATATCTACAAACCTACGTATCAGAGCATAGCGAAGGGGGGCTCGTGTAATTCTCTGCAGCAAATGAGGAGGCAACACATGGATAGTAGGGTGCAGCTGCTTCTGCTGATGTTAACCTACATATATATACACCCGTGCATAGCAACGTATACATATATATACACACGAGTATACCGAGGGGGACTGCGCCTCATACACAGCAGAACAGTGCGGAGGAGAGACAGAAGACATTGGAAGAGGAAAAGAGCGAAGAGCCACACCGGCGGGAGGGGCAGCAGCTGTCTTCCAGTGAAAAAGAAGACGCAACAGCGGCAGCAGCAGCAGCAGAGGCAGCTGTCGACCAGTGGAGGTGACGCAGCAGCAGCCGCAGCAGGGCAGCATCGTGGCTCCATATCAAACACAGAGCTGCAGCAGAAGCAGCAGGGGCAGCTTTTTACCAGTTAAAACAGAAGACGCAGCAACCGCAGCAGAAACAGCTGTTTACCAGCAGAAAAGAAGTCGAGTCGCAGCAGCAGCAGCAGGGCATCAGCGTGGCCACGTATTAAAGAGACATAGAGCTGCAGCAGCAGCAGCAGCGGCAGAGAAAGCTGTCCAGCACTGGAGAAGACGACGTAGTAGCAGCAGCAGCAGCAGGGCAACAGAGAGGCTCATATCAAAGAGACACAGAGCTGCAGCAGGAGGAGCGGAGCAGCAGCACTGTCTATTCGCATGACTACCGAACTCGTGAAGGAGGCGCAGTAGCAGCAGCAGCAGCACGGCAGCAGCGTGGCTCCACATCAAAGAGACACAGAGCTGCAGCGGGAGCAGCACAGACAGCTATTTACCAGTGAAGAAGAAGACGCAGCAGCCGCAGCAGGGAAGCAGAGCTGCTACATACCAAATGACGCAGAGCTGCAGCAGCCGGAGCAGAGCAGCAACACTGTCGCTCTGCATTAGTATTGAACCTGTGTAGAAGGCGCAGCAGCAAAAGCAGCAGGGCAGGAGAGTAGTGGCTCCATATTAAAGAGACACAGGGCTGCGGCAGGGGTATCAAAGCAGCGTTGTCATTCCGCATTACTCTCAAACGTTGGTGCCTCTGCTACAGCATCGTCCCTGTCTGCAGCAGCAGCTACAGTACTGCAGCAGAAGATCTAGGGTTTGGTAGTACTGCAGCAGCGTCCCTGTCTGCAGCAGCAGGTACAAATAGACAAGGTGAGGCCGTTAGTTAGCGGCAGCAGCAGCCGGAAGTTGAGGAGGCAAAGATGGAGACGGCAGGGAAGGGTTGAGGGGGAAAAGGCAAGGAGGTGAGACGTACAGAGCAGCGCCGCAGAGGAGGACAGGAAGAATATAAATATATATATATATACGTATCTATTGATGTATGCATATGGATATACTTATATATCCGTACATATATATAGAAAGGAGGGCACGACTAGCGGATTTTGCTGTGTCGTGGAGGTACACTGTCCATTGTGCCCAGCAGCAGCCGGCTTTACAAACGGAGGCTCCACAGCAATCTCGGCGACAAGAAGATAGCAGTGATGTTATATCAAAGGTATCCAGTAGAGAGGAAGATTGTATACATGAGGAAGTCTGTTGTAGCAGGACGGGATTCTTCAAAGGAAATAACTAGGCACGTATCGATAATGCGGAGCGCTTGTCTCCTTTCTGTTGTTGACTGTCTCGGCCCTGCGCTGCCGTCTCCATCTTTGCCTCTGCCGTCACCTTCCCGCCACTGCCGCCAACGGCCTTTTCTTTTTTGCCTGTACCTGCTGCTGCAGGTAGTGACGGTGCCGCAACAAAAGATTTGGTTTCACGTGCTTATATACGAGCTTCAAGATAATTCTAGACGCTTGTGCATACTATACTTGCAGGAATCACATACACGTGTATGTGTGTACATAGCCGTCCTTCTTATAGGTAGGTCATCAAACAGGTTGTAGTATACCCGCGTCTGTAGGCTGTGTGTGTTGTATTCTCTCGTGCCTATTGATGTGCGAGCTTCGACATAATTCTAGATGTTTGTGCGTACTAAACTTGCAGTGGGAAGCACACGTATATGAGTGACTATACGGAAATCTGCTGCAATATTACATGCGCAGAGCAAAGTGCGTACGCGCCTCACGTCTTACTGAACAGGAATATAATAGTTTCCCTTCTATACACACACATATTCTTTCCTATCCCTTTTCTTCGCTGTAAAGGCAGTCTGGGTATCGATGTTAAAGAGAGATGTGCATCAAGAGGTAGGTCATCAAACAGGTTGTAGTGTAGTTTTCCTGCTTCTTCTTCGTCCATTCGGTATGTACATATACATGTGTATACGCATATTCTTTCTCGGCTGTAAAGTCGGTCTACAGTATCAGCCCCAAAGAGGATGCTGCGCACATAGGTGGGCGGCCAAACAGGTTGTAGTAGAGTTTCTATTTCTTCTTTCTCCGTTCAAAGATATAGGAAGAACAAGAACCATCCGGTAAGGCGCGTACGTACTTTGCTGTGCGCATGTGATATCGCAGCAGATACTCGTATAGTCACGCATGTACGTGTGCGTCCCACTGCAAGTTTAGTACGCACAAACGCCTAGAATTATGGCAAAGCTCGCTCACGTTGTGACTGTTTCGGCGCCGTCCTCCTCTGGTCTCTGCACTGTACGTGTATCACGGGCATATGGGAGAAATTTATGCGTGTCTCTTGAACTCTTGTCAGTAGTGCGTGTAAACATGATATACCTGCGGTCCTGCATAGCCCCTTCTTCGGAGAATGTACCATCTCTGAGGGGGACGTACGCACGTGATGTGGCTGTTTGGGCCGTCCACTTGTAAGGTCTCCGCGGTATACGTGTATCATGGCCGTATGGGAGAGCTATGCGTTTCTCTTCTCCTGAGCAGTACACGTGCTTGTTTCGGCCGTCCTCTTCTTTCTCTGCAGTATATGTCTATCATGGGCATATGAGAGAAATTTATCCGTCTCTTTCTAACGCTTGTACAGCAGTACATGTACAAATGATATACCTGGCGTCCTGCATGGCCTTCTTCCTCGAATTTACCACCTGTCAGGGGGAGGTACGCACATGATGTGACCGTTCAGGCGGTCCTCATGTGAAGTCTTCACAGTATATGTGTATCATGGGCATCTGAGAGATATTCATGCGTGTCTCGCAAACTGCTGTATAGTAGCACACGTAAAGATGATATATCTGCTGTCTTGCATGGACTTCCACGCAGAATGTGCCATCTGTGAGGGGGACGTACGCACATGATGTGACTGCTTCGGCCGTCCTCCTATGGGGTTCTGCAGTATATGTGTATCGTGGGCATGTGGGAGAGATTTGTGCGTCTTCCCTCTCTTGTGCAGTACGTATGACTGTTTCGGGCGTCCTCCTATGGTCTCTGCGGTACGCGTATCACGGGCATATGAGAGATTTATGCGCCTCTCTTCTCTTGTACAGTAGTACATGTAAAGATTATATATGACCGCAGCTGCGCCATGTGTATGTGCGCTTGCTGCCAAGCATCATCCCTGGAGCACAGTAATTATTAGTTGCTGGCTCAATGGCGACGCCTGTGAAGTGGCCAGGAAGTTGACTACGAACCATGTAAGAACTTGATGTTCATATGGACACCTTAAATGCCACAGGCGACACTTGCGTAGCCTGCTGTTTTGGTCGCTCAGCAGTGTGAATTGCAGTGCCCGGGCCGGGCTTTGAATGGGGCTGTATGGAACCGGCGGCAGCGAAAACATATGTACGCATATGTGTAAGAGAATACGCACTCTATATATGTATGTACGTATATACTTGCGGCTTGGAGGGTGGACGGGTATTACCTGAAAATAACTGATTGCGGAGGCCAGCCGCCCTCTGTACATATATGTCCGTATAAATATGTATATGGATATCTTGCTTTAGAGGGTGCGATGTGAGAGCGCGGTATCCTCTCACGAGACGGGGCCTGTAGTTTCATACAAGACGTTTAAAGACGGGCGTGGCAAGCCTTCAGCTTTTTGGGCGGCTGGCGTGGAGGGTGTACGAATAATACAGAATACGTACACGTGCAAGCTGACATCTGTATGACCCCCATGTAATATATATGTATATATTATATATATAATAAATGAATGTGAATACGAGCCGTCGTGAAGTCCATCTATCGCGCCAGCTGGTGTAAGCGCGCGTCTTTATTTCATTTGAAAAAGGTTGCGTATATTCTGCGTCCGCGCTGGAATGTCGGCGTAGCGAGAGAGACACATATATACATATGTATGTATGTATACGTGTATATGTATTCATAGGCATATGCATATCCAGTTCTTCAGGGCGACCACAACGCCTGACTGCCGTGAAGACTCCTGGCGCAGAGGTGACTACCACCATTGATTCGCTAGTCAGGTTACTCTTGGTAGTTCACTACCTTACGCTGAATAATTTCATACCCCAATGGGGACTGTAAGCCAAGCAAGGATGGCACAGCATGTGCCCTACTTCTGGTGGTAGACTACCTTACGACGAGGAATCTCATTCCTCAGCGGACCCTGTGAGCCCAGGGAGGCAGAGTATCTGCGCCACTTCTGGTAGTAGGCTACTACCTTTTGATGAGGAGTTATCTTCTCCATCGGTGCGCTGTAAGCCAAGAAGGGAGGCACAGTATATGCGCTACTTCTGGTAGTGCACCTTACGGTGAATAGCTCCGTTCCCCAGCAGGCGCCGTAAGCCAGAGAAAGAGGCACAGTAAATGCGCTACTTCTGGTATTAGACTTCTACCTCACGATGAGAAACTGCATCTCCCAGCCGGCGCTGGAAGGCGAAAGGCAGGCACAGCATTATCTGCGCTACTTCTGGTAGTCGACTAGCTTATTATGGAGATTTATATTCCCCAGCCGGCGCTCTCGCAGTACCTGCGCTACTTCTGGTAGTCGACTACCTCACGATGAGAAATACCAGATTCCAACGGGCGCTGTAAGCTAGAAAGGAGACGTTGCTCTCTTCCAGCAACGCTGGTCGCAGCATTGCCAGCAATGTTGCCAGCAATGTTGCTCGCGTTGTAGCCTGTCAGTTTTTCCCAGTATGCACTAGCGCTGATGCCCCGGCGGGCGCTGTAAGTCAAGGGATGCACCATATCTGCCCTTCTTCGGCAGTAGACCACCTCACGATAAATCATCTCATATCCTAGCCAGCGCTATAAGTCAATATAGAGAGGCACAGTCTTTGCGCTACTTCTGATAGGAGACTGGACCTTACGATGAGGAATTTCATTTCCTAGCGGGCACTGGAAGCCGAAGAGGAAGGCGCAGTGTCCGCGCTACTTCTGCTGCAAAACTAGCTTACGATGAATCATTTCATTCTCCAGCGGGCGCTGGAAGCCGAAAAGGGAGGTACAGTATCCGCGCTGCTTCTCGTGGTAGATTACTTACGATGAGAATTCTCATTATCCAGCGGGCGCTGCAAGCCAACAAGGGAGGCGCTGTATCCGCGCTGCTTTTGGCAGCAGAGCACCATACGATGAGGAATTTGGTCCCCTCCCGGGCGCAGTGAGCCAAAAAGGGAGCACAGTATCTCCGCTACTTCTAGAATTAGACTCCCTCACGATATAGGAACCTCATTTCGCAGGGGGCGCTGGAGGTCAAGAAGGGAGGTACAGTATCTGCGCTTTTTCTGGTAGTACACGGCTACCTTACAATGAAGAACTTCATGCCCCAGCGGCCGCTGTGAGCCAAAAAGAAAGGCACAGTATGCGCGCTTCTTCTGTTAGGAGACTACCTCACGATGAGGAATTTCCCCTTCCCGCGGGCGGTGGAAGCCGAAGAGGGAGGCACAGCATTTGCGCTACTTGTGGCAGTAGACTACGTTACGATGAGAAATTTGATTCCTCAGCGGGCGCTGTCAGCCAGAAGGGGAGGCACAATACCTGCGCTACTTCTGGTAGCAGACTAGCTTCCGATAATAGATTTCGTTGCCTCCCCAGCGGGCGCTGGAAGCCGAAAATGGAGGCACAGTATCTGCGCTACTGCTGGTGGCAGAGTACTACCTAACCATGAAGAACTTCATCCCCCAGCCGGCGCTGTAAGCCAAGAAAGGGAGGCACAATATGTGCGCTACTACTGGTAGGAGACTACCCTACGGTGAGAGTTGTTTCATTCCCCAGCTGGCGCTGGAAGCCAGAAGGGAGGCCCAGTGTCTGCGACTACTTATGGCAGTGGACTACCAGAATGAACTATTTCATTCCCGAGCGGGCGCCGGAAGCCAAGGGAGGCACAGTATGTGCTGTCCCAGCAATCTTGGTCCCAGCAATGCCAGCAATGTTGGTCGCGTTGTTGCCTGTCAGCGTTTTCCAGTATACACGGGCGCTAAGGAAGACCTGCGCTCTTAATTTCCCAGCAGTGTTGGTGGCGTTGCCTGTCAGCGTTTTTTAGCATGCACTGGCGCTTATGAGGACTTAGGCTCCTAAGAAGGCACGGTATTTGCTCTCCCAGCAATGTTGGTCGCGTTGGTGGCTGTCAGCGTTTTCCAGTATGCGCTGGCGCTAATGCACCAGCGGGCGCTGCAAGCCAAGGGATGCACAGTATTTGCTCTCCCCGCAATGTTTGTCGCGTTGCTTGCCTGTCAGCGTCTTCTAGTGTGCGCTGGCGCTGATGAAGGCCTGCGCTCTTAATCTCTCAACAATGATGGCGGCGCTGTTGCCTGTCAGCGTCTTCCAGTAGGCGCTGGTGCTAATGTTAACTTGCGCTCTCAATCCGACGACTAAGAAAGGGCGCTCTTTGCACTGTGCGTAGCGCACGTTCATGTAATTGGGATTCCTAGAAATAGCGGAGCTCTAACCAGTGAATATCCAGGCGGTAGGCAATATCCAGGAGGCGCGCTGAGCTGAGGACCGGAAAGAAGTAAGACAACGAGCTGATACTTGGCAGAATGACCTCCGCCACCGACAGCTAAAGCATCTTACTGACTCGTTACTGACACCGAGATACGAAGGCAGCCAAAATTTATCTGAAAAAGATTTTCATGACTGTTGCATTTACTCGGTATCCGTGCTGCAAGCGCGTCTCATCATCTCGCAACAACACATAGGACAGCACGTCCTGTCGCACTCACTATGAGACCAGCAGCGGTAGATGTCCCTCGTCCAGCATATAGTACAGCACGTCCCCTCGCACTGGTCATGAGATCAGCAGCGGTTGCACAGGTAGACGTCTCTTTGTCTGCCGGCGCGGTGGATGTCTTCTCGTCTACCGGCACGGTGTTCCCTCGCTTACCTGTTGTCATTGAGCCTCCGCGCCAGAGCTACTACCGGAGCCCTCGTAAGGCACGTGGTCTCTCTCCCGAACGTGAGACCAGGAGCGGCGGCAGACGTAGCCGTCTCTTCGCCTACCAGCATACGGTGTCCCCTCGCCTACCTGTTGTTAATATGCCCGCGCCAGAACCACTACAGGAGCCCCCGTAAAACACGTGGTGTTGGAGCTGTAAGGCACACGGTCTCTCTCCCGAAGGTTTGCGGCCGAGAGCTAGCGTGCGAAATATAGGGAGACGACGAGTCACCGCTGTGTCGCTCTCCCTGTGCATCTTACCGAGGGCCGTCGGGGCAGTTGCCAAGGAACATCATCCGTTGCCACCGCAGACACCACGGACCATTACAGTGATATATATATGTGTATATTTCATATGTATATATATGTGTGGAATTGGCCGACTATAGCAGCTTCTCCCTTGTACGGCGTTGTGGCTCATCTGCGTTGCCGTTGCCCAGAAACGGGTTGGAGCAGGTAACACGCTTGGCAAGAGGCTCCATACATACTTATATATGTACTCGTGTACACAGGCATTTTAGCGTCTGTGGATAACCACACATGTGCGTAGACTCAGAGAGAGAGGAACGCACTTGTACGTAGATATATATACACATATTCGTCCAGCGTTACGTTGCACATGATACGTTGCAGTCTGCGCCATCGCACTAGTGAGCGCACTGTACGCTCTCGGGTGTGCCTGCCCTGGGGTTGTGCAAACGGGATGGGTGCCCGATTGTCAGGGCGGCTGTGGGATAAGCTTTTTAGCTACCGCACGTATATAGAGCTAGATTTTTGTTTTCGTTTGTGCACGTGTACGGGCACATAGAAACGGAATCCTGAGTATTCGCATACACTACCATGTTTATGCTTTCCTATGCTGCCCGTTCTGCTTGCGCTTGATGCAAAGCTTTCGTGAATATCTCGCCTCGCGTTCCTCCTTTAGAAAACTGCTACCGTTTCAAGTTGCAGGCAGGCCTCGCCCCCACATTGTTGCTCTGTCCTTGGCACTGAGGCCTATAACATGATGTCACCACCGAGAACATACAGCTCCATACTCGGGTAGCCGTCCGTGTTGGGGACGTGCAGTCTACGCATCACCAGCAGCAGCAAGAGCAGCAGCGGCAGGGGAAGCGACAAGAGCGGCAGCAGCAGCAGCAGCCCTACATAGCTGCTCTGTTGCTGATACTGAGGGCTTCTTACACGGGAACGCCACCGAGAACACACAGCTCGATACTCGGGCTGCGGTTAGTGTTGGCGACGTGCCGCATACGCAGCACCAGCAGCAGCAAGAGGAGCAAGAGCAGCAGCAGCAGCGACAACAGCAGCAGCAGCAGCAGCAGCCCTACTCTGGTGCTCTGTTGTTGTTACTGAGGGCCTATTACATAGGCAGGCGGCTTACTTTATTGCTACGCAGTCACTTTCTCTTTTTTAGATGACATCTATAGACAGAGATCTACAAAGCACATATGTGTTCAGTGGAACTATATGTGTTACCTATACAACTCCATACATGTGACAACAGAGTTCCATGTTCACGCACGTATGTGTGCCTGCATTGTAACGTGCAGCCTACGCTGCATGCTCCAGGATCAAGTCCAGACGCAGGAAGCTTACTTCGCTGCTACGCTGTCATTCCCTTCTTTTCGAAGAACATGTATAGATAGAGAACTGCAAATCACATATGTATATACAAGAAATATACGTGTTACCTATACGGCTCCATACATGTGACAACAGAGTTACATGTCCACACCCATATGCGCGCCTGCATTGTAATGCGCAGACTACGCTGCATGCTTTAGAATTAACACGAGACGCAGAAGGCTTACTTCACTTCTACGCTGTCACTACCTTCTTTTTGGATGACATGAATAGGTGGAGATCTACGAAACAAATATGTATATACAAGAAATATATACGTGTTAACTATACAGCTCCATACCTGTGACAATGGAGTCACATGCTCACATGCATGTGCGTGCCTGCATCGTAACGCGCACAGCCTACGCTGCATGCTCAGAAACTTACTCGAGACGCAGGCTTACTCTTCATTGCTACGCTGTCACCTCTTCCTTCTCAGATCACATGTATAGATGGAAATCTCAAAACACATATGTATATACAAGAAATATAAGTGTGACTTCTACAGCTCCATACATGTGACAACAAAATTACATGTTCACACACATGTGCGTACCTGCATTGTAACATGCAGCCTACGTTGCAACGTGTAAGAATACACTCAAGACGCAGGCTTACTCTCCAGTGCTACGCTGCCACCTCCTCCTCCTTGGATGACATATATGGACAGAGAACTTCAAAACGCATACATACGAGAAATACAAGTGTTACCTATACAGCTCCATACATGTGACAACAGAGTCGCATGTTCACATACATATGCGTGCTTGCATTGTAAGCTGCTGCCTGCGCCGCATGCATTGACTCAAGATGCAGGGCTTTCTTCTTATTGCTACGCTGTCACCTTCTCCTTCTTGTGTGGCTCGTGCCTGCATTCTAGTAGCTGTGCCTCTCTCGTCGGGCTCGCTCGGCATCGTGCGCGCTGCTGCCCGCTCCAGGCTTTGACTCCCTCATGGTTATCTGGCAAAAAGGGGTGAAACCGGTGCTTTCCCACCCAATGCTCAGGACGACAAACACTTCATATATTCTTTATAAACGATCGTGGAGGTGCTCGAGGGGAGGAGCCATATATATATGTATTTTATGTACTACATATAGACGACCTCGGAGGTGCTCAAGGTGAGGACCAGCGGTTGCAGTTGTGGCGGTTGTGTGCTGGCTATTTCCGTCGTCTTTCGCTCTACTTCTTCTTCTGCAATAGCTGCAGACACTTACTGTATATATATGTATATATGTACGCACTTGTATTTGTTTATACGCAGATCCTGCTGCTATCAAAAAGTAACGGGGTGCTGCCTCTGCTTTCCGAGTACCCCAGGGATATGCAATCCTGGCGGTTGTGTGCTGGCCGCTTCGTTTGTGTTCCACTCTACTTCTTCTTCTTCTGCACTAGCCGCAGATCCTGCTGCTATGAGAAAATAGCGGGGTGCCCCCCTCTGCTTTCACGAAGGCCACGAACTTCACTACAACAATACATATATATGTATATACATATACGCATATATATACATACGTACCCATACACATATATCCATATATACACATATATGTATATATATATAGAGAGAGAGAGGGGTGCCGCGTCTGCTTTCCCACCGAGTGCTCCAGGGGCTGCAGTTTCGGCGGCTTAGTGCTGGCCGTTTCCGTTGTCTTTCGCACCACTTCTTCCTCTTTTTCTTCTGCAAAAGCCGCAGACATGACTGGATATATATGTATGTATGTATATATATATATGTCTATACGCAGACCCTGCTACTATCCGATACAAGGGGGGTGCCCCCCGCGCAGAGGCGGCCCACACACGCCGTCGCAGTCGCCTCTTTCTCGCCGAGTCGGCGGCGCTTACACCCCCCCCCCTCTTATGGATGATCATACGTCATGACCGCACTCCTCCTGCTGCCCAGTACTGCTATGGTATTGCTATACATATACATGTGTGTATGCCGTCGAACTGTCATCTGCAGCAGTACACGACTACGGCGCTTATGCTGAATCTGCACAGCTGCAGAGGCCCTGCGCGATCGAGAAGGCATCACGACCCACCGAGCAGGGTCACCCATGCAGAAGCCACACGTACATATATATACGTATATATATATATACATGCGTAGATATATATGTAGGTCCCGTATAGAGACGCACATCCAGGCAACATCTTCCACAGACGCTGGATCTAGCGTTCGTACTACTCGCGTGTAGGGAATCTGGTCTGTGCGATTGACGGTCGAAATCTCTAGCAGTGATACGGAGTTGTGCCCATGCTTCGTTTCTCTTTCAAGTGTTGCATGGATATTTACTGATACGCACGTATACACATATACATGTATATATATATATATATTTATACACATTTGTAAACATATACGTGATCGGCATCTACAGGAACACGTGCATACGTCCGGTAAGTGTGCTTCTGTGTGATAGGTAGACCACGGTCACGCATATACTCGCGCAACTACATCTGGTGGTGCACGCGAGGGAACGCGACGCGGCGCTCTCGGGTCTGCGGCGAATCTAAAAGGTTCACGCTGCTATCCCAGTAATGCATGCACAAATTCAGCTGCTTGCACACCGGGTGGGCGTCTGCCTGAAGGTAGTAGTAGTAGTAGTAAGTAGTAGTAGTAGTAGTAGCGTCAATGTTTGCAGTAGACACGCATCTACGAATAATAATGCCTCTGCCTGCAGGTAGCAGCGCCGATGTTTGTAGTAGACATGCATATACGAATAATAATGCTTCTGCCTGCAGATAGTAGTAGTAGCGCCAATGTCTGTAGTAGACATGCATATACGAATAATAAGCGGCGCCTAGTAGTAGTACCGATTACACGGGTGGCACCATGCCTTTGCTACGCTTTTCAGCATCTGAATCCGCAAAAGCGCTAGCTAGTTCCAGCAGCCAGATGTGCAGTGCCGAACATGTTGTGCCGCCCCGAAGACCTCCAGCTGTGTCGCTTGGGCGTGTGTGAAGCGTTTCGCGCATCTGGCGGTGCCGCCGTTGATATTACGGTGACAGGCAACACGTGGCTTTTAGAGTAGCGAGCGACATTTATTTATATATACATATATTTATATACGTGCATACGCTGGCGTGCATCCTTCGAGCACAAGTATATGCATACGCCCCTGGGGCGTGTCGCAACGCATACACGCAGAAATCCATATATACAAACGTGTAGGCCCGCCAGTAGGGAAAATTGCTGTATACATAATATAAAACCTTCAGTCAAGCGAACACAAGTATATCCGCAGGCCCCTAAGGCATGTCGCTACGCATACACGAAACCCGTATATACAACCGTCTAGCACCACCAGTAGAAAAAATGGATGTATACATAATATAAAGTCTTCACTCTAGAGAACACACGCATATCCGTATGCCGCTGAGGCGTGTCGCTACGCATAGACGCAAAACTCTATATATACAAACGTATACCCGCATCAGTAGGGAGAATTGATGTGTACAAACGTGTAGCCCCACCGGTAGGGAAACTTGCTGTATGCATAATATATTCTACACATCGTCAGAGACGGGCGCCTTGCTCTCGATGCCCGTAGACTACTGATCCATACGATTACACGTATGTGTGTATCTTACTCGCAATCCGCATATACAAACGTATAGTCCCGCCAGTAGGGCAAACTGATGTATACGTAATATATTCTACAGATCAGCAGAGACGGCCGCCTTGCCCGAAATGTTCGTAGCAGGCCGTTAGTGCCGTACATCTGTAGGATGTGGAGGCCGATTGGAGGCCGAGGCCCGTAGACTGCCAGAACGACTGATTAGGGAGCACTCCAGATAACGAAGGCCGGGCACCATGGTGGGGCATGGCGTCGCTACGAACCATCTGTCAACGGCTGGATACTCATGGCCAGACAAGTGCTTGCCAGCGTGGTTTCGGATTATCGTTTTAGCATGATTTCTAGCGACTCCCCAGTCGATACGAGGTCGAAACACGGTAATCGACGGACAACCAACGGCTGAACAGGCCGTTGAACGGCTCATATCACTCAGGTCGGTTCCAATGTGATAATCTAAGACCAAGGCGATTCGACTCAAACGGTGACCCCTATGTACGTATCTGTGTATGTAAAGGGGTCTGCCCGCACAGTTACGCGCATGTGGGCAAGTGATACGGCGGTCCGAGAGTGGAAGAAGAAGAAGAGAAACCACAGCCAGGAGGGGCACTTCGAGAAGGCGCCAAGCCGCAGCCGGTCGAAGGCGTAGCAAAGCGGTATGAAGATGACATCCCGAAGCGCCCTGAGGCAGTATCAACACCCCAGCAGCAGCCCGTCGAGTGGTGACGCCGGAAACGTGAAGAAGGCGAGACACACGTGAAAAATAGGCAAACCTCAGGGAGGAAGAAGAGAAGGAGGTTGACGGCGACGACGACGAAGAGAGGGAGAAGGAGGAGAAGCAACAGCACTAGCAGCAGCAATGTTCAGGAAGCTATTCAGTAAGAGTACGAGCGCGAGCACGTGTCCCAGCAGTAGCGAACTGGCCGGAGAGCTGCCGCAGATGCACCGCAAAAACCAGAGCTGCATTGTCGCCATGTGGCCGGTAGAGCATTATGCTTATACATATACACATATACACATATATGTGTATGCATATATATAATATATATATATATATATATATATATATGAGCCTCATAGTAACGGCTTCCTGGATATACGTGTATGTACCGACTTCGAGAGAGTAGAAAAGGAGGAGGTTGACAACGACGAGAAGGAGAAGGAGGAGAAGACGCAGTAGCAGCAGCAGCAATCTTCAGGAAGCTATTCAGTAACAGTATGGGCGCGGGCACGTGTCCCAGCTGTAGCGAACTAATCCCAGAGCTGCAGCAGATACACTGCACAAGCCGGAGCTGTATCGTCGCCAGATGCCGGTAGAGCGTTGGGCTTATACATATATATATGTGTGCACGTATATGTGTGCATATATATCTGTATACAACGCCCATAGTAACGGTGCCTCGTACACGCAGATATGCATATATATGTATTTATATATGTATGTATAGCTCATAGTGACGGCCTCCTAGACATATGTATATATATATATATATGTATACGTATACGTGTGTATATAGGTGTATTTGAGCCTCACAGTGGGCCTAATACATATATACATATATATATATATATATATATGTATGCGTATGAGCCCCGTAGTAATGGCCTCCTACATACATATGTATATATATATGTATGTATATATATAAATATATCTGTACATGTATGTGTGTATATATGTCTGGACGCGCGCGGGAACGGCCGTACTATTATGCAGGCAGACATCTGTGTACATATCGCGGCACGCTACAATAATGCACTGCGCAACGAGCACACCCCGGCCGATTATGCAAATAAATATACGTACATATATATATATATATATATATTTGTATACCGGTATATGTATATGTATATATATACATTGGTACATATATATATATATATATATATGTATATCTGTATATATATCTACACGTGGATGTAAGCATGTGTTATTCAGGAACTCCGTAGAAACTGGTACTGTTACTTGATGCGACGATGCGCACGCGTGACTAGAACAGAAACAGCCCAACCACTGCATGTATACATACATATGCATATACAAATATTTATGTATACATATGCCACACGAGCGCGCTACGACCGAATGCCTCCGCGTTTCACATGCGAGGCCTATCCGCCACTCTTCTTCCTTCAAATACAACGTTTTGGGTGTGTCGCAGCGACGGCTAATCGCCACGAATGAGCACACAGATTGCTGCCTAAGCGTTTTTCTATTACCGGCGCGTGCGTGCACGCCTCTGTATACATAGGCGCTCATGCCTGCGTGCAAAAGTTATTCTTCATTTGCGTGTATACAGGCACCCTCTTCCGAACCTTACTACTGACAAGTCTATACATATAAATGCCCATATATATATATATATATATATAAATGCCTCTTCTTTTTATCCTTATGTGCAGGTACGCTGAGGATACCAATAAGGAAAATGTATATATATACCCGTATACATGCATATACATATATATATTCTGTAATTTGTAGTGTGCATCACAGAATATATTCGCGCAAGTGTATGCCCGACCGGGCTTTACCTATTATCACAGTAAAGCACCCTGTGCACACATGCGCACGTGTTCCTGTAGGTGCCGATCACGTATATGTATGCGTCTCTGTATATGTATATATATATATATATGTACGTACGGAGGTCCACCTACACATATACATTATATGTGTATATTTATATCTACGTATGGAGGTCCACATATTGTGTAGAAACGGACACACGTGTGCGCACACGTAGATACGAAGGAAAGCAGACAGCGGAAGCTGAGGACCAGCAAAAAATGCCCGAAGCTTGCCCACGCGCTCCCGTAGGTGCCTATCACATATATGTATACATAAATATATATGTATATATATATATATATATAATGTATATATATATATATGTATATGTATATGTATATATATATATATATATATACTGGCAGGGGCGCTTGCCCTCGCGGTGGCAGACGCGGAAAGAAGAGGCGGCGTCAGCAGCCCACGAGAGAGCCGCCGGCTGCAGTCAAAAGCGCGTGTATCTATATGTATACATACATGTATGTATAGATGTCTCATCGGCTCAAGAAAAATCGTGAAGCCCTCGTATAGGGAGACGCAGCAAACACGGAGCCTCAGCGTGAATTTGTATGAGGTCACATATGTCAGTGCGTCTACATCTGTATTCTAAAATTCACAGGGGTCAGCCGTCGAACCGGGAGATAATCAATCTTCATGTCATTATGGAAAGAAATTAGAGCAGATGTAGCACGGGTGTCCTGCTGGAGAGATGTGTCGCGTGGGCGGCAGCGGACGCGGTCGTTGTTGCAGCCGGCGCAGCGGTGCGCTGCTGCAGGCAGAACAAGCAGCAGCAGCACCAGCAGCAAGGAAGGCGCAGAAGGAGGAGGAAGCAGAGCTCAAGACATTCCTGCAGCTCCAAGCAGCGCCTCACATCTTTCCTGGGCTTCTTCACACCCACGCTCTCACAGAAGTAGGCGAACTCTTCAAATGCAAAGGCGCCTGGCCGTCCAGCTGTGAAATGTGTGAATACGCTGCTACCTTAAATCTTCCCTGGCCTGATTTATTCTCACCCTGTGACAGTTGACGGACTTGTCCATCAAAAATATATATATATATATTTACTTATTTGTATACACACACGGTGTGTGAAAACATGAGCACCTATGTCTTCTTCTTTTTTTTCTCTCTGTATATGTGTACGTCTATGCATACCTAATATGTACGAATAAGCTGGTACCTCAACTCTTTCCTGATCTGATTTATTTTCACGCTCTGGCAGTTGACGGACTCGCCCAAATACTGCGAGCTCCGGGCGCCGTAAGTTCAGATGTGTGCACACGAATACGCCACTTGCTGGTACGTCTAGTACCACTAGTCCTGGCGCAGATGGCGTCACTTGCATCGTACAATTATGTGATTTTGAAGTCGGGAATAGCGCTGATGCTGTAGATGTGTGCACACGAATACGCCACTTGCTGGTACGTCTAGTACTACTTGTACCGGCGCTCAGCAGATGGCGTTAGTTGCATCTTACGGTGCTAGTTTCGGGGTTGGCAGTGCTGCTGGTGCTGCTGCTTCCGCGTCTTCCGGAGGCGACGCCGTGCTAGTTTGAGATTTGCAGTGCTTTGGTGCTGCTGCTTCTGCTTCTGCGCGAAACTTCGTCGTCCTCTTGCTTCTGCCACTTCGTGTATCGCTGCTACTACTGGCGCTAATACCGCTTGCTAAGCCACAGATACGAATGCATCTTAAGAGGCGGCTGGTACAGCGGCGACGGGATCGTTATGGGATACTGTAAAGATGAATAACACATGTCTAGGATCAGCTGCTGTTGGGACCATTAGTTGTACCTGTACTGCTATAGGACCACTCTATCGACGCTGTAGGAGGGCAGAAGCGAGCTACGGCGGTCGCTGCAGCAGCAGCGCCTGCTGCGAAGCGAGCTGCTGAACGTGTACTACGCTGGGGCCACTCTACTGCGAAGCGGCGGCTGCTATTGCTCCTGGAGGGCAGAAGCGAGCTACGGCGGTCGCTGCAGCAGCTCCTGCTGCTGCAAAGCGAGCTGCTGCTGTGTTGCTGCGGGAGCTCCTGTGCGGCGGCATCAGTAGCGCGGCCAGCTGCTGTAGCGGGCGCATCGCTTCAGACGCCGCGCGCCGGCGGCGACTTTGGTGCCGTGTCCTCCTACGCTTCCTCTCTACCTTTCATCAGTGGATCCCAGGTGTCTGCGTACCCCGTTTGCTTTCCCCGAGTGGGATCTGTAAATTTCGAAGCTTCCCCATCTCGTTGCTGCCCCTGCGGGGAAGGATGGCCCAGCAGCCCGTCCCTGGTTGCTCTTATTCTTCACGCACGCACTTGACGCAGCCCTTCGTCCGCGTCTCTGTTGCAATACACAATGAGCCGATGATACGAGTCACTCTGGGGCGTCTGTACGCTTGGTCGCATCTCTCTTTCACCCTCCCTCGAACCCCCCTGCGTGTGTCTCGCGGGGGAACGGAAACGACGACGCTGTTGTCGCGCGGGCCGTGGTGGCGACGGTCGGCTGTTGTGCGTCACGAAAACCTGCGCACAGTAGCGTTGAGCCCTGGGAGAGGCTCAGCGGCGTGCGTCTTCTACCCGCATAACTTCTGCACCCGCTAGTGCGTCGCATTGACAACACCGAGGCAACAACAATGCTGCGCGGCGGCGTGCCCGTCGACGACGGCGGAGCGGCGAACCAGAGGAGGCCATCATGGACGAGGCCGACGTGATACACTGCAACAAGCTCCCGCAGCAAACGGAGCTAAGTTTATGCTGACGCCACAGCTCGTTGACGGGGAAGGATTCCGGCTGCTCCTTTGAGTTCGCTCTTCCCCATATTTTCCATATCGCGCGCGGGCACTGGAAACCATGTCCCTCAACCACTAGCTGTGCTGGATAGATACTACGGTGGTAGGCTAGACAGCGGAGCACAGGTCATTCCTGGCTTGCCTTGGCACTGGAGCACATATCTTCAACTTGCGCCTAGGACTCCGCTAGTTGGATCTGAGGACGGTCATCAGCGCACTGGCTTTACTTTTTTTGTACAACTCGAGCACAAATTTTTGACGTGCGCCTAGGGACTTTGCTAGCTGGATCTGAGGATGGTCATCAGCGCACTGGCTTCACTTTTTCTATAGAGACCGCTCATACCTGCTACTGGGGCGGCCGCTGATGGTGTCAGCGAACATGAGGGCGAGTTCTTACCAGTGGGTTGATGGAACGGCAGTACCACGCGAAACTGCGGCTGCTGGCTTTCTAGTAGTCTCTACAACTCGATCAGCTGCAGGCGTCCTCCGTTCGTGACAGAAATTACGGCGGCACCAGTTGCAGGAGGGGGAGGGAAGCCCGCCGCACGCCGGCGCCCCTTTTCACATCCGCACTTCCCTGTTCAGTGACGTTGCTGCCGTTTGCGATACGGCACAGCACCAAGAGGACCGGGGTCACGGAGAGTAGTCCCAGAATACTCGACTGCGGTGTATGCTCGGGCCCAGCAGCTTCATCATTCGCTATGAGCCGGAAGAGCAACCAGCCGCGCGTTGCGACCATCTTCGCGTCCTGCTTCTCTGGCCAGTTGGATTGCGCTAGGGCACAGCATCAACGGGACCTGGGTCACAGAGGGTAGTCTTAGAACAGTACGGCTGCTGTGTATGCTCCAGGGTGGCAGCTTCATCATATACATATATATATATATATATGACTGTGTGGCTGCCCAGAAAGCGACGGCCTCCCTTCGGCTTGCGAGCCAAGATCACGCGGAAGAATCGAAAACTCTGCAGAAAAGATAAAGAGCTGTTGGGCTTTTTTGGCTCTCCCTTTCGCTCTTCATACCCCGCTATGTGCACTGTCGCATAAGTGTTGTTCCTGGACGCGCTGTTAGCAGCGAGCGTGATGTGGCTCTGCCAGCCGCTATTACGTGCAACGCCTCCTGTAAAAGAGGCATGGCAGCCCTATCCTAACGCAGCGGACTTGTCTTCTTTGTATCGTGCAGCTAGGATTGTCGGAGCAGCAGCTGCTGCTATATGCCGAGATGTGCGTTTCCTGTACCGTGGGTGGCGCGGCTTCTCTTTGTGATGTGACGCATCTGCAGTGATTCCTCTAGTTCCTTTGCATGGAGACATGCCGCTGTCTCTCCGCAAAGAAGGTGAGCGGCGCCTTCGTGGCCGTGTTCTCGTGGAGAATACGCCGCGCCCACCTTCACCTGAATGTCGTGGCCTCCTGAGGAAATTTTGCAGCAGTAGTCGCCCAGGCCTAGCCCATTTTTTGAGCCTCATAAATCGCTTTCTCAGCATCCAGGGCCGCGGGGCGGCAGCACGGGCGCGGGCCAGTGTGGCCCTTTTATTTGCCACCGTGCTTGTCGTTCTCTCTCAGACTGCCTTCGTGTATGGGGCCGGCGGACCGCCACCATCTGGCGGTGAATTGCCGCCTCGAAGGGAAAATCAGTCTGGAACTCCCGTAAATGTTGCTCAGCATCATCGAACGTTAGGGCTGCGTACACGATCGCGGCAGTATTTTGTAGATGCACCGGACGGCGGTCCAGACGCTCATCCGCCAAGCGGAGATAACCATGAGGCACCCGCACGCCCTCTATCTCTTCCAGGACGCGTGCTGCGGAGTGGGAATGCGCAATCTAGTGAGCCAAATGGGCAGGGCCTTAATAGGTGGGGGCCGGGTATGGGAAAACCTGCATCAATGGTGCCCCCTGGCGTTGTCCACCCGCCGGGGCGGCGGCGTCGGTGGGCCCACGGCTCCTCGCACGAAGGCGAGCGGGCGCGCGGGAAACAGAAAGGGAAGGGTTCACAGACTCACGCGGAGGCAACTGCAGGGCCACGACAGCAGCATCTGGAAGGGCCGCCTGAAGAGGAGTCGAAAGGGGGGCCAAGTCACAGTGAAGAGGAGGACGGGCGGCCCGGTCCTGCTGCGGTGGAGAAGCGGGGGGAGTTTTCCTTAGATGCTGCTGCTGAGAAGTCCAGTGGTAGCTCCGCGCACACTACTGTGCATGGGAGCGACGAGGATATGTGCACGACGGTAGGCAATAGCCCTAGCGGTCGTGCCCACGAACTTCCCGCACAAGTGAGACAACAAGGTGAAGATGTATCATCTGGCTCCAAAACTGCCGAGAGCACCATCTGTGCAGCAGTGGAGCTTAGCGCCGGACGCGAGAAAGATACTGAAGGTGGAGAGGCAAGCTCACCCTCTTTCCATACGTCTGTTGGGGAAGCAAGTGTACTAGCCTCTTCTCATACGTCCGTCTCTGGTGGTGCCGGTTCTCCGCCGCGCCCCGGGGTCCCCGCTGGTGCGTTTCTTGGGGCAGGTGACCGGCGGGAGGACAGGCTGAGACCTCCTGCTCCCTCGAAGCCCCCAGCAGCAATCCGTTCCCTACTGCCGGTCTACTACGATGAAGCTACGGGGTTGTCCTGGGGTGTTCCACGCACCAGTTGTGAGGGCGCACGCACAAGTGATTCACGTGCATCGGTATGGATGCCTCCTCATCATGCAGGTGCTGCCCAGCACGTCGCGAGCGCTCCTTTCTCAAGAAAGGAAGATGCAGAGCTGGCTTTTTTTTCTTCCACGGAGGGAGATGAGAGACCACGTAACGCTACGGCACATACGGGCGCGAGAGGTGAAGCACAGTTGGTTTTCTCTTCTACCGGGGGATATGATACACCACCTGATGCTACGGCACATACGGGCGCGACAGGTGAAGCGGCAGAGCTGGCTATTTCTTCTACGGGGATGGATGAGAGACCACCACGTGACGTGACGGATACGGGCGCGACAGGTGAAGCAGGACAGCTGTCTTTTTCTTCCACGGGGGGAGATGAGAGACCACGTGAGGTTACGGCACCTAGACCGCGTGAAGTTCTGGCACATACGGGCGCGACAACCGGTGGGGCGCCAGCAGCGGAGACCGAGAAGCATTCACACAATTTGCCGGGATTTGGTTTGTGCGGGGACGGCGATGAGGGGCCACGGGAGACAACAACGACGGAGACTCCCATGAGCTCTGAGGATCTCTCTTACGACGCGAACAACGAGGAGCTGCGCACGGTCAACTTGGACGTGCTTGCATGGAATTTTTTGGCTCCTCCTCGTCGTCCCGCCGCCATAACGAGAACAAGCGGCGGAACATCTGTTTCCCCAAATTCTAGTCAGGATCCTAATTGTCAAGCTGCCACGCATGCAGAATTCGTCGGAGGCGAGAATGCAAACAGTGCCGTCTCGTTTCCGTCTTGCCAGGCAGACGCCAGCCAAACCGCGGTTGCTGAGCAGCGCGGGAGAGGCGGCGTGTCGACCTCCGCCTGCCTGCAAGGGCCTCCTCAGGGCTCGTCATCTGGCGTTGTATACCAGTACCTTCCGGGTGAGGGGGGGCGGCATGCCTGCTCGCCTGGCGGCCACGATAGTACTCCGGTGATTGCAGCGGTGCAGAACGTCTTAGGCGACAGTAGTGAGGATGACCGTTCTCCCATGGATCATCTCGACTTTTACGCCAAGCATATCACATGTCCTCCAGACAGCACAGCCCAGGAGCCTAATTCAAGAACACCCGCGTCATTGCCGCACTCATTTGCCCACTCCTCTGGCGGAGGCCGCCATCATAAAGACTCTCACGCCTGTGGCCCGGGGATCCACGCCTATGACCCAGCGTCCACGTCTTACTGTGGGCGCACGGCTTTTCCTGCTTCTGCGGAGGTCGGTACGTTGCAGAACGCTGATGGTATCGCACATGCAGCTACAGGTGACAATGCTGGTGCCGTTGAGCAGCAACAAGAAAGTGGAGCTTACGCGTCCGGTTATTACGACGATCCCCTGGAAGGGCCATCGTCCCGCTTTCCTTCTGGCCACAGTAGTACCGGAGAAAGTCCAGCTTTTAGCACCCACCGCTGCGCTGATGGGCCACCGGGAATGCTGCCATGGAGCCTGGAGGAGGTAGACTCTTTCCTAGCAAACGAGGGTGAGCGGGGAGGGGGCCAGAACGCTTCACGGGCTCTGGAGTATTTCGCGAGAGGGGACGATTCCAGCGAAGGACAGCGTTCCCGTCCTGCTGCAGCTGCTACAGCGGCATGGCAGTCGTTACAACCCTTTGGTGCGCAGCGGACAGACCCGTTGGTCTTACCATTCACAGGTGGGGCACAGCAGAGGGGCCCGTGGGTCTCCCCATACACAGGTGGGACACAGCAGACAGAAAGAACGGACGGCTTCTCATACACAGGTGCACAGCAGACAGAAAGAACCGGGGACCCCCTATACACAGGTGGAGCACAGCCGCCAGCAGCCTGGGGCTCCCAGACAGAAGCCGAGGACCCCCTCGGAGGATGCGGTGGAGCCGGCTCTGGTGACTCGGGGGGCGGCGGATCTTGTGGCGGTCGGTTTGCTGGTAGTTCTGCTGCTGCCGCGTGGGAGGCCGCGGACACGGCCGCTAGGCCATATACAGACGCAGCACCCTGTCTTACGGATAGCTGTGATGCTTGCACAGTGATTAGAGGAGCTGCTGTATCGGTGTGCCAAGCTGCTGCGGCCTTAAGACGGGCTACAAATGCGCTCGTGGTTTCAGCTGCCCGGCATCAGCACGGTCGTCCGGCTACCGTGGGCCCCGCGCGTCGGGAAGGTGCCTACAGCTTGGCGGGGCACCCTCGATATAGAGATATGCCCACTATATTTCGTGGATCTCGACAAAGTTATGTTCATCCCGTACCAGGCAGCTCCAGGCGTGCTAAGTTAGCTTCATATACCCCCACCGGCGAATTTGCTGTTTCGGCCGGGAGGGCGCGGAAATGGGAGGACGCAGAAGTCCCGGCGGATTTGGCGGCTAGAAGCGGTGGCTCTGATGTCTGGAGGGACACTGGACGTCCGCCCGCCGCCGGTGGTAGTGCTCGTACTGCTGCGGCTACTACTACCGCTACTTCTGCTGGCAGTAGTTCTGCCACTGTTACGGCTACTGCTGGCAGTAGTAGTACTGCTACTGGTGGAAGTACGGGTGCTACTCCTACTCTTACTGGCACTACCGCGCGCCCTGGTGACGGCGCCACCGGTAGTAGTTGCACGCCTGGTGTTGCTGCTACCCAGCACTTCCGTCCTGTTATTGCATCTGGTACCGCTACTGGCGGGGCTAAGGGCACGGCTCCTGCTAGCGTTAGTAGTTTTGGTGCCGCAACTACGTCGCGCGGTGGCAGCAAGACGGCTGCTGCGCCGAGGGTGGGTAGTACGGCGGGCGAAGGGAAGATGGCGAAGAAGAAGAAACTAAATAAAGGAGAAGCGGGTAAATCAAGAGGAGACGGGGAACGAGGTTTCGGCCTTCCGCCCAGAGGCGCGCTTTGCGCGCAGGGGGAGGAGGGGGCCCCCCCCTTCTCTCTTTTGTTTGATGCTATAGCTGAGGCAGCCGTGGAAATAGCGCATGAAAACATGCAACTGGAGAACAGCATCATGGAGGCGTTTCTGGAGCTCGTTGGGGCTCTCGGGACTCTTTCCCCCGCGTCTGTGGAAGCCGCTAGGAAGTCTATGAAACGATTTGCGTGCTGGCGGATGTATTGTGTGACACTCGTGCGTGCTCTATCTCTCGCGCCTGTGTCTCCTCTGTTACCTTCACAAGTGACCGCTCTGGTGGAGACGGCGTCAAGCTCGGACGTGCCACTGCCTTTGCGTTGTAGGGCAGCGCTCCGCTTAACGTTTACGTGTCTCATTGCTGCAACATACGCAAGTGGAATGGGGCCACTTGTGGATACAGGTTTAGCAGGTTTGCGGGGCTTTGAGGCGTCTATTGTGGCGAAAAAAGAGGATGACGATAAACTCGTAAAGGCGACGCTACCCCAGTGTCGCAGAAGTTTCGACGCTATGTTTTTAGTGCTCGAATGTTCTCCTTTTCGTCCCTCTATACGTTGTGGCGACTTCATAGATCTCTTTGGTATGCACTACAACTGGGTCATAGGCTTGGGCTTCGGGGCGCGTCATGCGCGGCTCCTCCTGCCGGCCGTTCTCTCTGAGAACTGCCGTCTCCTTCGCGAACCTCTGGTGCGGCACCTGCAGGAGACGCCTCGAGGCCCACGCTATAGAAGCATTAGTAGCTTACTATGGACACGAGACGCACGTGAGAGGTACCTGGAGCTTCTGCGTGTATTAGAAGCCAGGGGTTGCCTTACACGTTCCCCCCATGTCTCTAAAACCGCCCCTACTAAATCTACCTCAACAGGTGCTACTACTACTGTCTCCACCTCTGCAGATGATGGTGAGGGCAGGCATACGAGTCTTCCACGCGCTGCTGCTGCCCCACATGCGGCTGTTGGTGAGAGGAGGGTGGAGGACGGCTCGGGGGGCAGCGGGACGGGGAGTAGTTCCGAGTTTGAAGAAGGCGAAGAGGAAGGGGAAGAAGACGAAGAAGATAACGACAGCGCCGACGCCAGTGCTACGGAAGAAGAGGAAGAGGAGGGAGAGGAAGAGGAAGACGAAGTGACTGGGGGAGCCCTCCGTGCCCGCCCTTTGAAGAATCGTCCTCCTCGTAAGAGAGTAAGACACAGGGGGCGTTTTGCTTGCTGCGGTGTTGTCACGGTAGAGGGCGGGGAGTTGCCCATCTTTACGTTTAGACGTACTCGCAAAAATAATACATGCATTGGGCTTACGCGAAAGTGTAATTGCCCACCGGGAGACAAGTTTGAGGTGCCTGCTGAGGCGGAGTTAGAGGAAGAATGGAGACAACGAGATAAAAAAGTGGACCCAAGCGGGGACCGCCCGGATGCTACGAGCTTCTATACTATGCGTGGCGCCTTGGGGGCTGGTCAAGGTTTCTGCTGCGGTAGTGCGGCAGCAACTGCTGTGGAAATTTCTATAGATTGCGCAGAAGCTCTGACGCGGGGTTATACGTACTGCTTCGAGTATCCACACGAAAGGGGATTTGTAGTCAGAAGGAAAGCTGACCAACGGACTTCGCGTTCTCGCATGACGGCTTACTGTTTACGTCTGACGGAAATCCTGCAGGAAGCCCGGCGCAGAAAACTTACTACGCATCTGGAGACGCTGTTCGCAGCCATGTTGCACGACCCCCGCCATGCGTATACCCTTCTGCTAGGCGGCCACTTACCGCCCGTACCCTCACGTATTTGTCTTCCTTCTGGGGTAGCATATGACGATCTCGGGGGGGCGCGGTCAAGCGCTCGAATTCTTGGCAGGTCTCCTGACGGCCCCCCGTCCGCCTCTTCTGCTTCTCGCCGTCCCTCTGCTACCGCTTCTGCAGGACCGTCATCACCCACAACGTCGCCCTCTGGTACGACTGCTACTGCTGGTGCTTCTCCTCCTCCTCCTCCTCCTGCTTTTCGTCCACCACCATGGCGGACCTCTGATACGCGTGCTGCTGGGCTTTCTGCCGTCGAAATGTCAACGTCAACGTCGGTAGCATACGGCCAAGAGGCCACCACCGCGCTCCGCCCCGGCCTTCCTATAGCGGGACAAGGGCGGCCGGCGGGGCCACAGCCGCGGCAGTACCCAGAGATACATTCGCAGCAGTCGCAGCAGCAACCATTCCAACTGTGTCAGCAGCTGCAGCATCAGCCATTCCCACTGTGTCAGCAACAGCAGCAGCACGGAGGCCTGCCGCAGCAGCAGCACGGAGACATGCCGCAGCAGCAGCAGCAGCAGGGAGGCATGCCGCACCAGTGGCAGCAGCAGCAGCAGGGAGGCATGCCGCACCAGTGGCAGCAGCAGCAGCAGCAGCAGCAGGGAGGCATGCCGCACCGGTGGCAGCAGCAGCAGCAGCAGGGAGGCATGCTGCACCAGTGGCAGCAGCAGCAGCAGCAGCGTGGGGTCATGCCGTGGCGCCAAGCACACGAGCGACGAGAAAGAAGCGGACAGCAGCAGCACGGAGACCCGCTTGGATATGTTGGCTACCCGCCACCGACCCCTCGAGGGCCGCAGCACGCGCACGGACCTGTCCGGCAGCACGGAACACAAATTTATGATTTTGCTCCACCACGTGCGCCGGGCTCACAGCCCCAGCACGGACCCCCGTGGCGTCCTCCGTATGGCGTTCTCCCACCGCCGCGCCAGGGTGGAGGCTGCTGGCCAGGACAGCCCACAGGCGTGCAGCAGCAGCAGCAGGGTGGATTTCCTCCTTCACAGCTATACGGAGGGCCGGGGCAACAGGGGGGGATCGGGGGTCCGCAACAGCAGTACGGAGGAGGAGGAGGAGGAGGACACCGACGAGGAGAAGTACCGGGACAGCACATAGGCCTGCCTCCACAGCCCACGAACCTGCTACAACGACATGGATTTCCCGCCCCACAGCATGAAGGGCTGTGCTGGCAGCAGGTGGGACAACTGGGGCACCATTCCGTCACGGAACGGGGGGGAATGCAGGCGCAGATGCAGGTGCCCCCCGGTAGTAGCCCCTGGCAGGGGTCATCGGCCCTGTTTGCTGGGGGGTGGGAAGGAGGTGTGAGGGTAGAAGGCCGCGCTGCACCTGCAGATCCACAGACACAGGGAGAAGCGGCCGCAGTACCATGGGGTTCGATGAGACAGATGGCAGACGTGTGGTCAGCAACAGCAGCAGCAGGATGGCTAGGCGACCCGCCTCGCAAAATACGAGCCAAGGCTTTCTCGAGATACCCAAGACCACGTAGACGTTTAACTAGCGCAGAAATTAGGCACCAGCTGCGCCAGTGTGTGGCACGTCGCAGTACCCAGAGGGACCCTGCCCGTGACCTCCAGCAAGCCAGCCCCGTCAGGCTCCCCGGGGAGGTACCAACTGCTTCTGATTTGAGCCCCAGCGCGGCACAACATGGTGGCTTCAATGCCTCAGCAGCTGGGGCAGCCCCCGCTGCTGCTGCTGCGTATGCTTCTGCTGCTCCTGCTGCTGCTGCTTCTGCTGCTCCTG